ACCATTTTTTGTTGTTTTTTTTTTTGCCCTTTTCGGGCCGATTTTCCAGTCGTGCGAGAATTTTTCATTTGGGCCGATGGTGCCTCATGTAGTGTTCAGGGGGTAGCGAGGGACGATCAGCCTCTCATGACCAGGAGTCATAAGGTCAGGAGAAATTCAGGCAGCCGTCGTAAGGTCGCATCAGAGCGTTGGGTCGCACAGTGTGAGAACATACATCAGCTGTGAACTTATAAACCCTGCTGTTTCATTGTACAGTTTGAGCTTCAGCTGCGTGCAGCGATTGAAAAAAATCGTACAGTGTACGCCTGACTTTAAGGTGTTTGTCCTTTGTAGATCATTTGGACCAAACCAGCAGGTTCATCAGACGGAACAGAAGCTCTGAGCCGAATCTGAACAACCTACTTCTTCCTCTGTGTCTTTCCAGCATCCACCTCTAACGATGGAGACGGCAGCGGTCTGTGAGCTTGACCTGGAGGACAGGAGAATAGTGAGCGGCAGTGACTCCCCTGCTGAGCTGGACAGTCCCTGTAAGGTAAACCATGGTGGCTCGTTGGAGGAGAAATGTTCCTGAGTCTTGAAGCTGTTGGCAGGTAGAACCGTAAGACTAGAACCAGACGTCTCCGGGGCGTCCTGTCAACGTCCTCCCGTTCACAGCGGTGTGTTTGTGTTCCAGGAAGAGGTGGCAGGGTTCCATTTGGGTCTTTGTGGCCCTGAGGAGGAGCGGGGGGAGACTCCCGGGAGAGAGGACAGTCCCAGTGAGCTGGATCCAGGAGAGACCAAGACTGGAGAGCATAAAGCCTTTGGTAGGAGGAGAGGTACCAGACTGGACCTCAGTTAAACTGTCTGACCACCATGGCTGCGTCCGACCCGCCACCCTAACCCCTCCATCCCTCTATAGAGTGGGACTTCATAATGAACTCAGTTAACTGACCGTTCGGACAGGTGGTCACTACTTTTCTCTCTCCATTGGTCCCGTAACTCCGCTTACCCCATACTCTGCCTGAGCCATCTTTATTTGTAATTGACTGCTGACAGGTGTGACAACAAATCCCATGAGGCTTTGCGAGGAGAGCTCTCCTCACAAAGCATCATGGGATATAGCTGCTTGTCTAGGGACCAAGGATGATTACTAATTTTCAAGGTGCATTGAGGGAAATTTCAAGTCCACTACTATTTCATCCACTGGACAATTGGAAGCTGTTTTAAAATGGCGTTATCACCATATGGTGCAATATTCAGAGGTTAGGCGGACATTCGGACATAGCGTATGATTCCTGCTAAATGAGACCTTCCCTGACCTTCTGTTTCTCCTCATACTCCATCCAGGGAAGGAGGTGGTGCTCCTGATGCAGGCGCTGAACTCTCTGGCCACTCCAGAGGAGAAGCTGGCTGCGCTGTGCAAGAAATACGCAGACCTGGTATGAGTGCTGTGTTAGCGTAGCATGTCTGTTATAGCGTAGCATGTCTGTTATAGCGTAGCATGTCTGAGTTAGTGTAGCATTAATGAGCTAGCGTAGCATGACTGAGTTAGCGTAGTGTGTCTGTGTTAGAGTGTTAGAGTAGCATGTCTGTTTTAGCATAGCATGACTGAGTTAGCATAGTGTGTCTGTGTTAGAGTGTTAGAGTAGCATGTCTGTTTTAGCATAGCATGACTGAGTTAGCATAATGTGTCTGTGTTAGAGTGTTAGAGTAGCATGTCTGTGTTAGCATAGCGTGTCTGTGTTGGCATAGCATGTCTGTGTTGGCATAGCATGTCTGTGTTGGCGCAGCATGTCCGAGTAAGCGCAGCATGTCCGAGTTAGCGCAGCGTGTCCTAGTGTGCGTAGCATGTCCGTGATGGCGCAGCGTGTCCGTGATGGCGCAGCGTGTCCGTGATGGCGCAGCGTGTCCGTGTGAGCGTAGCGTGTCCAAGTGTGCGTAGCGTGTCCGAATGTGCGCAGCGTGTCTGTGTTAGCGCAGCATGTCCGAAGCACCGTAGCATGGCTGACTTAGCGTTGTATAGCATGGTTTGGGTAGCATGGTCAAGTTAGCGTAGAAAGTCTGACTTCGCGTAGCATGGCATTGTTGATGTAACATGCCGCAGTTTGTCAGTCGCAGGGCAGTGGTTTTTAGCACTGATCTCTCTTTATTTACTGGATCGCTGATAGACTGAAAAAACTGAAGTGATTTGCCGCCATGTTGGTACTCCCCACTTATGTAGTCAGGCCATAGAAATGCCTGTAATGTAATTACAATAACAATGTAATCAATACATGTTTATTACATGTACATCATCAATTTAGCACGTTTGGAGCATCATCAGATAGTGTGTGTCTGTAATATTCTTAATATCTGGCTGCAGTATTATTCTGCCTCATTTACATTAATTATATTGTGATGGATTTGTATAATATGTTATATTACATGATGATATCATGTGTCTATTTTTTTTTTTTTTTTGCCATAAACGACCATAATGTACTGATGCTATAAACAGCCAATGTGTGTCAAAGCAATTAATTTATCTTTATTTTAAGTCTCCAGTCCCCCAGTAAATGAGAACATCATGGTTGTTCGAGGCTTTAGCTCACAGATTGTTTACACTGCGACCGGTCTAACTGGGTCCGCTCCTCATCAGCCTTACACCCGTCTGTCCCTTCTACCCGTCTCACCACCAGGGAGAACAGAGCGTTCAGCCGCTGTGCCCCCCTGCCTCTGGAACTCTCTACCATCCTTACTGAGAAAAACTGACTCACTTCTCCATTTCACTACTCAAAACTCCATTTCTCTTAAATATTATTCTCCCATCCCAGCCTTCGTATTTTTTAAATGGTTTTATTCCGTGTTTTAACTTTGTTTCTCCCATTGGGTGTTTATCTTTTGTGCCGTGACCTTGACTGTCCAGAAATGCGCCTTTGACATAAAATGTATTATCATATTTATTATTAGGGAGTACCAATATGGTGGCTAGTGACTTCACAGCACCGTGTACTACCAACGGCCTATCACCAGTCCATTGAATGGAGATCAGTGGTGCATCTTCCTCTTAGCCTTGCTGGGCGCCTCACAGGCTGATGCAGGCACTCAGACTGTAGCCGTGGTAACCAGGACAGATGCTTGTAGCTGCTTCCTCTGTGGTTCTCTCATAATCTCTGCCTCCCAGCTGTATTTTCTGCTGGGTTCTGGAGGTGGTTCTGCTGTCATAGCCTCGTAAAGAGTTTGTGTCCTAACTTGGTTCTGGTCCGGTCTGTGTCCAGCTGGAGGAGAGCCGCTGCATGCAGAAACAGCTGAAGGCCCTGCAGAAAAAGCAGTCTCAGATCGTCAAGGAGAAGGTCCACCTCCAAGGAGAGCACAGCAAAGCCATCCTGGCCCGCAGCAAGCTGGAGAGCCTCTGCAGAGAGCTGCAGAGACACAACAAGACCCTGAAGGTAAGCTTCTGGTCCCGAGGAGAACCAGGTCCCTGCATTCTCACCTTCAGTGATTGTCCCCTGCAGGAGGAGAACGCCCAGAGGTCTAGGGAGTATGAGGAGCAGAGAAAGGAGGCCATGCTGCACTTCCAGGTGACTCTGGGGGACATCGAGGTCCAGATGGAGCAGCACAGCTCCCACACGGCCAAGCTGAGGCAGGAAAACATGGACCTGGCCGACAAGCTCAAGAAGCTGATCGAGCAGTACGAGCTCAGGGAGGAGGTACGGAACTACTGCTGTACACAAGCTCAGTGCTTCTATCAGTTCTAGATCTACCTGAGTTTCCTAGTCATCGGTCTATGTGTCAACCGGTGGTTCTGCAGCTCGCTAACCGTGTTCTGTTCCGCAGCACATAGACAAAGTCTTCAAACACAAGGAGCTGCAGCAGCAGCTGATGGACGCCAAGCTGGTGAGGATCACAGAGATGATGAGGGAGGTGGAGGACAAGCAGCAGCGCGAGAGAGACCTGGTAACTATGGCAACTGCTTCATCTGCATCATCCCTGCTGGTAGTAGTGATGCTATTAGTGTTACTCAGGTTAACAAAGCAGACTGCAGGCTATTGGAGTCATGAAAACCCAGTTAGAAACCAGTCCATGACCCGCTGTCCGTCTGTCCCGTTTCAGCTGCTGAAGGACGCCACCGAGTCCAGACGGAAATGTGAGGCTATGAAAGAGCAGGAGGCTCAGCTCAAACAGCAGGTGAGCCGGGGATCAGAACCGAGCCTGGAGCAGCAGAATGTGGTCCCCAGGTCTGACCCTCTTCTGTCCCCGCAGCTGTCCCTCTACATGGACAAGTTTGAGGAGTTCCAGAGCACGCTGGCCAAGAGCAACGAGGTCTTCACCACCTTCAGGCAGGAGATGGAGAAGGTGAGCTCTGATTGGACCACAGGAGCCAATGACCTCAGCTCACAGTCTGATCCAGTGAAGTGGGCCTGGGAGAGGCGGAGCTTGGTTATTATGGGATGTTAACAACCTTCCAGGTCACAGTCTGCATCCTTCTTCAGACCAACAGCCATGAACAAGAAATGCAAACCTAGAAGTCCACATTCAGCGCTGACAGATGAGCTCATGCAAGATCCAACTTTCAGACAGAAGAGGAAGGATGGAAACTCCTAAATCCTTAAAATTTTAGATCATTTTTAGAATTGGGACAGAAAAAATTCACATTTCAGTCTTTCTGGAGCCCATTTTGTTCTGGTTCTGTAAACAATTGGATCCGGTTCTGTCCAGTTTGAGGAATGAAGGTCATACCCTGGCAATGAGAATATCACCATGGAAACAATGTTTCTAAACACCTTGGCTGTCTGAACGTCCAGCGTAATGCCTCCATCATTACAGAGTCCACTAGCCATTGGGACGCTGGTATAAAATGGCCTCACCCCTGTATAGTTCTTTATGGTTGTAAAGGGTGGATGTTTGTCTGTTACCTCCTGATTGGGACATAAACCCGAGGGAAACGCTTTGAGGACGTGAACACGGCCGTTAAAGAGCTAGGAGAGTTACGTCACTTCCTGTACCCTGAAGCATCACCGAAACAACCCAAAAAGTCTCAATAGTTCATTTAGAAGAACATTTTGATTGACGATCAAAATCCGTCAGCTGCTGATCGAGGCTGGGGGCTAGCTTCCGGGCTGGCTTCCGGGCTAGCTGCTGGGCTAGCTGCTGGGCTGGCTTCCAGGCTAGCTGCTCGGTTGGCTTCCAGGCTAGCTGCTGGGCTAGCTGCTGGCCTAACTAATCTATTTATTCACTGGATTGCTGACAGACTGGAAAAACTGAAGTACCGTGCTGCCATCTTGGTACTCCCCACTCTCACAGAGTCGTGCCATACCAATGCCTGTAATGTACTTAACATAACAATGTAATCAATACATGTATATTACATGTACATCATTAATTTAGCACTTTTGGAGCATCATCAGATAGTGTGTGCATGTCTGTAATATTCTTAATATCTGACTGCAGTATTATTCTGCTTCATTAACATTAATTTTATTGTGATGGATTTGTATAATATGTTATATTACATAGAGTTCATACTGACTGCAGTGTGATGTGTCTGTTTTATACCTTACATGACAGTAATCTACTGATGCTATGAAACAGCCAATGTGTGTCAAAGCGATTAATTTATAATTATTTTTTTTTAAGTCTCATTGTTGTTCAATGCTGTAGCGCACAGATTGTTAACATTCTGACCAGTCTAACCAGGGAGTACCAATATGGCGGCTGGTAACTTCACAGCACCGCGTACTAGCGACAGCCTATCAGTAATCCAGATGAGTGGCTGGGTTGGCTTCTGGGCTATCTGCTAAGCTAGCTGTCAGGAGGAGCTGGGCCCAGGTTCTGGTTCTGCAGTAGTTCCTCTGATCAAAGCTCCACCGATCTGATTACATCCCATCTTTGCAGATGACCAAGAAGATCAAGAAGCTGGAGAAGGAAACGACGCAGTGGAGGACCAAGTGGGAGAGCAACAACCAGGCCCTGCTGCAGATGGCAGAGGAGGTGAGCTCCCTGATCCGGTCCCATGGGTCCAGTTCTGCTCCCAGCAGCGCCTAACGGTTGGTTGTGTTGCAGAAAACTCTGCGTGATGGCCACTTCAAGGCCCTGCAGGGGAAGCTGGAGCTGCTGCAGCGGCTCTGCAGAGCTCTGCAGAAGGAGAGGAACGACCTGAGCAACCAGCTCAGCCTCCTCCAGGAGCAGGGAGGCAAGGAGGAGGCACCACCCGGACCGGACCAGCAGGGGGAGCCCATGGAGGAGGAAGATTCTGAGGAGGAGGAGCTGCAGGCTGGGGGCCTTCATCAGGGACCAGAGCAGAACGATGCAGATGGAGGCAACCAGCCTGCTGCTCTGTAGCTGATGGAGCTTCTCCAGAACCGCCTTCTGGACCCGGTTCTGGACCTGTCCTTCATATCTTTTGGTTTTTATTATGATTCACTCAATAAAATGATTACATCCAGAACATTCCCTATGTGAGGGCCTCCTCCATCAGCAGCCGGGTTCTGCAGGCCTCCTTCCTGATCCCACCTTTGGGTTCTAGCAGCAGGTCCACCTCCTCCATTAGAACTGGGTCAGGTTCTGGAGGTCCGTCAGTCTCCATGGAGCTCATCCTCTGCAGCAGCACCTCAGGCTGAAGAGAGGAAGATGAAGATGGAGGAAGGCCCAGCGAGTCCATCAGAACCATGCTGGAATTTCCTCTGAGGTCCTCCACCCGCTGCAGCAGGAGCAGCAGATCCACGAGGATCCATTCTCAGAACCAGGTTCATTCCTTTCTCCTCCATCTGACCCGTTCTGAGCTTCAGGACCAGGATGGACCTCCAAACTTTTGCCCAGTAGGAAGGAAATGATCAAAGCAGCTGGTAGTTCAAACAGGCATGTACATCGGACGCCATGATGCCAGGTCATCAGAGCAGCAGCTTAAAGCTCCAACATGAGCTAAGCTAATGCTAGCTTCACTGTTGTAACAGCAGATGCTAATCTTTAGTTATCTTCCTTCCATTAAAAAGTTTCCTTTAATCTCCAACATCTCTGAGGAGGCGGGACTTCCTGAAAGCAGCCAATAACAGGCAGGTACAGTCCTCCCTCCATGTAAGGACAGTTAGCTCTGAACTAGCAGCTCAGGCTGGGAGGAGAAGATGTGGAACCAGAGGAGGATCCTGGTGTTCCATGTATGGAGCATCGGATCCCATCAGGAGGAGCTGGTACCTTTAGATGGTTCTGCTGCAGGGTTCCGGCCCGGAATGACTCAGGTCCTGTCAGAATCTACCTCTGTGGGTCGGGCTGGGCTTCCATGTCCTCTACCGAAAATGTTCTTCCAGTTTGTCTGACTTTTAATAAACCTTTTGTAGGATTTCCACCAAGTTTATTTATTGGCTCCTCGTCATCACTGACCCCACTTCTTGGCCGTGTCCAAACGTCCGCCCTGACCTCTGACCCCTCCCTCACTACACAGTCACCTTTATGGGGACACGTGTTAACTCACCTTTCTGACATCACATCTAGTTTTGGTCACGTGGCTCTGGCTCCTTGCACCACACCATCTTTGCACTTTAATCCCCAAAAACAAATCCCATGAGGCTTTTGGAGAAGAGCTCTTGCAAAGCCTTCTGGGATATATCTGCTCGTCTAGTGACCTTTCAAGGTGCATTGTGGGAAATTTTAGCCCTATTGGGGCTCTGTATACAGCGGCTCTATGAAGGGGTTAGGGTGGATGTTCGGACACAGCCTCAGACATCATGAATGAACCCAGACGCCTGGTTCTGACCCGCCACGGTATAATCAGCTGGAAGATCTGACACACAACCACCTGATCTAATAAAAAATGGGACCAATCAAAACCGGAGAGCTGAAGGCCGGTCCAAACCAACCAGACCAGGAGGATGCAGCGTGTTCGGGTCGTCAGGAGGCGGAGCTGCAGCGCTGCTCAGGTCCCACCCTCCCAGGAGAAGTCCAATATCCTGGATGAACTGAAACAGGTGGTCAGCTGGCTGGAGGCCCGCCTCCTCTGACATCACAGCCGCCTCTGAAGGGGAAGCAGGCGGGTCCACAGACGCAGCAGTGTCTCCTTCATGGACCCATTTAGATTCAGATGTTCTAACCTGTTTGGCTTTTTGATGCTGAACTGGGTTCGGTTCTGGAGGGACCGACCCACTGGACCCAGGCCATCTCTGTCCACAGCTGAGAAGAGGATATCCTGCAGGTTCCTCTTTAGAACATCTGGAGGTCTTTCTTTGGATCAAAGCTTCTCCCCAGCTGTGACAGAATCTAGAAATAAAATCTATAAAAGCATCTTTCTAGTTCAGTATTCGAATCTTCAGGTTCTGGAGAGGAACCTTCAGCTTTGTGCTATGGGAAGGAGGATGCTGGTGGCGTTACCTAGCAACAGACCCCAAATCCTGTGGTCCAAAACAGCAGATATCACGTTTGTTACAATATCCAGAAAATTTTTGTAGATTTTAGTTCTAGATTCTGTCAAAGGTAAGGAGAGGCTTTGATTAAATGTCAGGTTTCTATAGAATCTGCAGATGTTCTGTCTTGTTTAAATCTATAGAAAAGATTTAAAAGGACTAAAAACTGTTTATTGGATAAGATAATGGATCTGATCCTTTTCCCCTTATTAGATCTACAGTCATGGCCAAAAGTTTTGAGAATGATTCAAATGTTAATATTTACAAAGTCTACTGCTTCAGTTTTTATAACGGCAATTTGCATATACTCCAAAATGTTAAAAAGAGTGATCAGCATAACAGCAACTAATTTCAAAGTCAATATTTGCCTAGAAAATGAACTTTATCCCGCAAAACACATATCATCGTCATTGCAGCCCTGCCTTAAAGAAGCAGCTAACATGGTTTCAGTGATTGCTCCATTAACAGGTGTGGGTGGTGATGAGGACAGGGCTGGAGATCAGTCTGTTATGATTAAGTAATAATGACATCACTGGACACTTTAAAAAGAGGCTGGTGCTTGGCATCATTGTTTCTCTTCTGTGAACCATGGTTATCTCTAAAGAAACACGTACAGTCATCATTGCACTGCAGAAAAATGGCCTAACAGGAAAGAGAATCACAGCTAGAAGGATTGCACCTCAGTCAACAATCTATCGCATCATCAAGAACGTCAAGGAGAGAGGTTCCATAGTTGCCAAAAAGGCTCCAGGGCGCCCAAGAACAGACATAGGCAATGTGGAGTCAACAAGTCATCTCCATGTCATGTATTTAATCTACCCAGCCAATTAACCAGGTGAGTCCAATCTGCACAGGTTAATTCATGGTGAAGATTGGACTCACCTGCTTCAGTGGCTGGGTAGAACAAATACATGACATGGAGATGACTTGTTGACTCCACATTAAGGTCCTGAAGAGGAGGGGTCAACACTGCAAATATTGACTTGCAGTGTTACTCAGAATATGATTGCAATTGTATTTCTGTGTGTGATGACAGCATCTGACATGAAAACCAGAGGGCAGCAGATCAGAGGAAAATACAATATTTGTGTCATTCTCAATACTTTTGGCCATGACTGTAATAAACGTAGATGTCCATCATCATGAGCTACACTGCAGATCCTATTATGGATATAGATATTACTATAGATCCTATTATATATATAGATATTACTATAGATCCTATACAGATCATACAGATGATATTATAGATCCTATTATTGATGCAGATATCATAGATATTATAGATTTTATTATAGATATAAGAGAAATATATTACCAGAGATCATATTATATAGACATTATAGATATCATGGATAAATCCTATTATAGATAAAGATTTTATAGATCCTTTAGAGATATAGATATTACTATAGATCCTACTATAGATATAGATATTAGTACAGATAGTGTTATAGATATAGATGATGTAGATAACATTATAGATCATACTATATATATAAATAGATATAATAGGATCTATAATATCTATGATATCTATATCTATAATATGATCAATAATAACATCTATATCTATAATAGGATCTATAATAATATCTATGATATAGATATATATCCTTTTATAGATATTATAGATGTTACTATAGATATTTAATCAGTTGATTAGACATTTAAACTTCAGATTTTGCTTTTTTTCACCTCAATCTTATAAAAAGGCAGATGAGGATATAAAATCAATCTGCTGCTTAGTTTCCAGCAGTAACCGGAAGTGAGCCCGTCCATATTTGGTCCGTCTCCAGGTGTCTTTGTCCTCTGCATCCTTCACATCTTCATCATTTATTAAACTGCTGTTCTCACACAGAACCATTGATGCTCGGATGTCCAGTCTAGAGTCCCGGGCCCAGTTCGATGTAGAGCAGATCCGTCCGAACCACAGTGGTTCTGCAGCGACATGGTTTGTCCCAGACCGTGGGGGTACCAGGCGGGGGAGCTGGTGTTCGCCAAGATGAAGGGATACCCCCACCGGCCAGCCAGGGTGAGTGAGGGGGAGCAGGCAGGTAAACAACCACAGGGCTGCAGTTTCCTTCAGATTTAAAGCTTTTTGTAGAAATAAATATAAAATAGACCAGAAAAGAGGATTTGTTCACTTTATAGTTTGTGTTTGTTTTGTAAATGATCCCTGAGAGAATAAAGTCTTTTCTATTCAGTTTATTTCTATAGCGCCAATTCACATCATATTGTCTCAAGGCACATTACAGTTTACCATATCATCCAGTCAGAT